TTGGGAACGAGGATTTATGTCTATTTTCGTCGAGCTTTGCGCATTTGTAATCGCATACTAACTAATTGCTTCGTTAAAATGCATGCTATCCGGTTGCTTCATTTTTAAATAATTGGCCGATAACAAAACGAAAAAGGGGTCCTGGGTCCGAACTTCAAAAAATCTAATTAAATAATGGTTCCAGAAAGAATAACGCCATCATGTGAGAGAGCACCATACAAAAGGCTTACTGACTAAGTTTCATGATGTTTGAACTTACAGCAATAAAGTTACGGACATTAAAACCATGCCAAAATTATAAAGAAATGTATGGTGTCCAGYCAAAGCGTCCAGCCAAACATAAATTCTTTGTAATTTTCGAAATTTTTGAAAAATTCTATTCCCAATACGAATGACTTAAACTTGCTCAAACTTTAAACAACAGATTTCTGTAAGACTTTATCACTTTTCATATCAAACAATTGCCTCAGAGAAACATTCATTCGTTTGCCAAACTTTTGCTGACTATATATGGTAATCTTACCTTATAWGGAAKTACGATRGAAAGTTTTTTTCAAGTTTTTTCCACCTTTTAATGCTTTAAAATGGCTAAAACTTACAGAATTTGCAGAGAAATCGCTTTTCAACATGTCGGCTATTATAATTTTGTCCTAGTCCCCTCCCATCCTTGAAAATAAGGAATCCCACAAAAGACACAGGTAGCCCGCGCGAATGTTAGCAATTGTTTGATATGAAAATTTTCAGTCACAGGCCCCTGCTCGTTTTCTTATCGGCCAATTGCTTTAGATGCTGAAAGTAAAGTTTTGAGTCAAATGATATCACAGATTCSTCCGTTTGGAAAGTAATCCACCTTCAGCTTCTTTCCCTCTTCTTCTTGTTCGTAGTTTGGGTAGCCCAACCATTTGACGAACTTCCCATTTCTTGATATCATCCCACTTGCATTAAAACTATTGAGAACATCGCCTAGTCGTCTATAGACGTTTTTCTTGTTATGGGATATCTGGACAAAACAATTCTCAATATTATCATAGCAATAACAAAATCAATTAATAGTAGCCGACCGTTCCAACGCGAAATTCCTTAAATGATTTGACGATTGCCTTGACCATATTTCGACATAAGTAACATATTCAAACAGTGCTGACAATATTTSTGACTCATCGTACGATTTGCTCAATTTGTAAGAGCTAATTTATTATTAATCCGAAATCTTTAAAGTGCTAGTCTTAACAAAATAACACGCCTCGGAAACAGGTTTTATGTATTCCATATCGTTGAAATAACCGTAAATACTAAAAWTTAAAGTTTGATCCATAAAAACTCTGTTTCCATTTGAGTTTTGATGCTAAAAGACAGCAGCAATCCCGTCCGCCATTAAATATGAATAAGCGATTTTTGAATCAGCGATTGCACGCTATGACGTCAGAGTCGCACTTCGAGCAGCGACAACAAGAGAAACAATATGRCGCAAAGTGATCTTTCTACATTCAACTCTATAAAACACTGCGAAAAAGACTCTGACTGTTCAACTTCTTGTTGAAAATTACCGCAAACTCGTGTTGAATTTGGCGCGAGTGCGCCTCTGACGTCACTTCCTATGAATATGTAGTGAGTTGGACGGCACTCTCTCAAATAATGGCGGATCAGAAAAAAACGTCAGGCAGTCGAATTTTTTCTCTTAAAAATCGTCGGAACAACCGTAATTTCAATTAATACAACAAGGGAAATGCAAAAAAAGACCGAAATAATACTGTTCGACGACAAGTTTCAAACACAAGCACGACATTTTGAGATTTTTTAACTGCCTGACGTTTAGTCCCAGAACCGTCAGCCAGTCGATTTTTGTTTTGAAAAATCGTTGGAACAAACGTAATTTCGATTAATACAACAAGGGAATGCACTAAAGACCAAAATAATACTATTCGACAAGTTTGTATAGTTACAAGCCCCGGTCACAAGCACGGCACTTTGAGATTTTTCGACTGCCATGACGTTTAGTCCAAGAACTAAACGTGAGGCAGTCGACGTCATTTTGTGAATAGTCGTCGGAACAATTGTGATTTCAATTATAGCACAAGTGAAACGGAAAAATGAAACAAACCGAAATAAGGGTCTTGTCAAAAATTAGCAGGGGGAGTGGAATAGGAAATTGAAAAGTGGTTACTGGAAATATGGTGACCATCCATAGTGGGRAAGTGAAATTTCCTAATCCTACTGATATTAGACGGGGAAAATCGTTTCCCTCCCCGTTCCCCTTCAACCATTCAGTTTTTTTTACAACAAAAATCGACTGCCTGACGTCTAGTTCTGGGACTAAAACGCCAGGCAGTCGAAAAATCTCAAAGTGCCGTGATTGTGTTGGAAACCTGTCGAACAGTATTATTTCTGTCTTTATTGCATTTCCCTCGGCTTGTTGTATTAATTGAAATTAGGGTTGTTCCGACAATTTTTCAATAAAAAATTAGACTGCCTGACGTTTAGTCATTGTAGTTGGAATCGAGCCAGCAAAAATGCTAAATAATAGGTATACCAAAACTGTTTTGTAGGCGGTTTTACCCATCCAGGTATGTCTTTACCTCAACTCTATCAAGCTCCTTGCATACTATATCAAATATCTTAAAAAGAATAAGAAACGTAATTTCAATCATTTGTGATACAACACAGCCTTAGTATATGAAAAACAAAATATCGTGTTCAACTATGATAATTTCACATTCTATTCTTAGTTTCCACAGTCAAGCTCTCCAGAAGGATCTCTCGTACGACTTCCCATATTTTGTTGAACATGTACACGGCGTTGATGTACATATAGAAGTTAAAATCTATGAACCTGAATTTGTGTGGTATTTATGCAGTAACTGCATTCATGAAAATCCACTTGTATGCACATACGATTGTGTACATAATTAATGTGAACGGAGAACCTTCTATTTGTACGTTACTGAGACCTGCACATGCTGTGATATCTGTTTAAACTTGACATTTTAATGGACTTAGAAATTCCATGTCCAGTCGAAGTCTTAAACCATTAGTTGTAATTTCACGCACATTAAAGCTTCACTTTTTATGGGAATTAATTAATTTTGCAAAGTCGTTTTTCTCCTTTTTTTGCATGTCCTATTCTTGACACATTCTTGACGCCATAAAATTAAAACCCACAYAAGCTCAGCGAGTGTGTAGATAAGATAACATACAACGAAGAAAGCACGTGCAATCTGTTCTTATTTTTAAAGATAGGGATGAAAAAAAAAACATATTAAAACATATTTCTAGTCAAAAAATCTAAATCATCCCTATCTTTCATCTGAGCGCGCTCGCGAGATGTGATGGTAGTATTCACACAAGTGCGGTAAAAAACTAGTTTTTGTTTTTAATTATRAGCAACCTCTAAACGCGATAACAATTTCAAAATTTACAACTATTTCCGTGCGCTATAAAAAGCAAAAATGGAATTCACGAAGGTTCTATCTTGAAATGTTTCCCCTCCGGCATATGGACATCCATATCTGGAAGTCTTATGGCAGTCGATACTGAATGATATTGTTAAGTTATCGATAATAAATGATGGTTAAGTTATCGATAATAAATAAAATAGTTATGTATTTTAAAGGTTTTTTTACCTCATCAGTGCTGATTTCTTCCTTTTCTTGGAGTGTTTCAAGAACTATTTTCGCATATGCATGCAGTCCACTTGAATGACGAGGGGGTTTGGTACTTTCTCTGCATATTGTAAAAAGTAAAGTTTTGAGTGGATTTCGTAGGAGTGGGAAACCTGGTCGAACTGTGATCGCAACTAAATTGTGATCTGATTGGATCTATGAAATTATACTTTTCAGTTTTGGAACTGTAGCTGAAGAAGGATGTTCCAAAAATCGCCATTCAAGGCTGGGAAATTATGATGCTTTGAGGAASATCTTCTTTTCAAGTGAAACTATGACAGCATAATACCCAAGATTTAAACTGCTATATTGTTTTTATTATTCAACAACAATATTGGACAAAAAGCGTGTGGTCGGGCGGACGCTGTCGCTCTAAAAGGAAAAAAAAAATTTGTTGAATTTTATGAAATGATAGCAAAGCAATGGGGTAACCAACAAGAGCGTCCCTGCTCATCCAGCAATTGCATGCATTTTACAATTTATATACCATTTTTCCGTGTGTCTGTACTCTAATTCAGGTACACAAATGACATCAAAACCAATTCTCTGTCTATCACAAACGAACGAACAAAATGAAACCTATTTGTTTCACTAGAAAAAATCGCGCGCTTTAAATGTTGTAAATTTGATGTAAATATGATGTAAGTGTAAAAATTCTGTAAATTTGAATGGAAATCATTTACATCAAATTTACAGAATTTTGGACACTTACATCATATTTACATCAAATTTACAAACTTTAAAAGCGCGGGATTTTTTCCAGTGTTTGCATAATAATTTCCATTATTTTTTCCCTCTAATTCTTTTTGGAGCGCGGGTAATTTCATTGCAAAACGGGTGAACAGGCACGATAATGCTTGCACAATATTATAGCGAGATTGAACGGCGTCGTCATCCGTGCGTGTGTACTTTAAAGTGCACAGACAACACCATCCGAATTAAATGGAAAATGCATCTGTGAAGAAAGAAATGGATTTTAAAATGTATTTCCTAAGTTATGGGCAATTGAAACTTAGAAAATGCAAATGAAGTGACGTCTACAAGGGAATCATGATTTGATATACAAAATCATTTAAGAGGGCGTTATTCTTTCTGTTACATTGGAAAAAAGCATTTTAAGCTCTCAATTAAAATGTTTGATTTTACTCCAGGAGCGCGCAACATACACAAAACTTTATCAACATTTCTCCACTGGATGATTTTAAAAACTTAAACTGACTTATTTAAATAAACCTATGATCTCTGACTAACTATATTTTCATCCTTAATCACTATGTAATCTTTTAACTTAATTTTTTTTTACTTTTTAAAGCGCTTAGAGAAAGCTATAGAAGCGCTATACAAGCTTATAAGTTGTTGATATTTTATCAACTGACGAAAACGTCATTAAGCGATGTCGAAAAAGTTAGAAGCTGAGCYWTTCGAACCACGAAATTGTTGTAAACAGCGAAATCACAGCGAGAGCAAAGCACTAGAACTCTTACATCCCGGCGATCAAATTGACGGGAGATTAATCATGTGAAGCCAACAGGTTTTTAACATCCATTGCATAATTAGCCGCTAAAAATGTGAGTAAATGTTACAAGAGTGGACCAAGACATCCCGTCTTTCACAGATCAAAAATATGAYATAACTAAATAAATAAAAAGAAATTAAGCCTGAGTGGTACTTGTTCTGAGAAGTCTCATATTTTTTCTTGAGTTATCCTTTCCCTTTTGCAACGTTCCAGAAATCCAATTTTTCTTACACTTTGTAATCAATCACTTGGTACACTCGTGGCTTAACTTTATTATTGACCTTTTTTTAATGTTACTGTAAAAAATGTAAGTCAAAASCGCTTGCTACTCGTTAAATTCCAGAATAAACTTGAAAAAGACCTAATCAGCTAACTCGTTGCTATGTACATTAACACCCAATTCAAATCCTGTGGAAAAGAGAACTTTTGTTGTTAAGAATTCAACTGTGAAATGAAAATACAACGAGCMATGAAACTTACTCACTGGTGGTTTGAATTGTGTTGAMACGTTTATAGCAACGCGTTAGCTGATTAGGTCTATAAAAGCAGGGTGTATAATGCCTTTATATTCTATACGTGATCACATACTGAAGCTGATGTGAATTTGTGTTCCCTTATGTATTTAGTAAGCGTCAAGGAATGTAATTAATTGAGCATTGAATAAGRGCGTGCAGGTAGATAGTGGATGAGACTTCCCTAGGATGATTTCCCATGCGGAGTATACATAGTATACAAGTGTGAGAATTAATCATTCGATGGCATCTCGCTAGTATACTTATACTATGAGAGCAAGTTTCAAGTTTTATATTTTCAAAGTTAGCAGAATATAATTGTGGTGTGTGAAAACGTCCRCAGTTCATTTTCTCATTACCTGGCCGTGCACCCTGTCATAAATAGTATAGGAATATTTCTATATTTAATTTTACCATATACATGTACACTGCCTTGCAAATGATTCATATCTCTGTATCGCCCTATGAGACATAGTGCACGCACAATTATAATATGTTGTCCTGTGGTTACTGTGAGAAAAGTTTAAAATATTTTATACTCGTTCAGAAAGACAAGAGTATAASTGTTACTTTTTTTAGTTTGACATATATATCTATATATTTGTGAGTCGTACCTTTGAGACATTCCTTGATTGGAGGCGGACTGGTTTTTCAGACAAACCTAAACAAATTAATGAAAGGGAATGAATAAATATTTTTTGTATAGTATTCAGTGTAGCAAGGCTTATTGGCCGCCTATGGTAAGTGGGTTTGGGTAAATTTTCATGATCGYATTACAAGCTTCTGTCACCAGCTTAGATGGTATGATGTAATCCATCACAGATGTGCTGATATTATAGGACCATATAAACACGTTTGTCATTGAATTACAGTATAGAAAAAGAATAATCTTTTTATTATTCCTGTACAAGCTTGTCATGCTAAAATATTATTAAATTTTTTTTGGGTTAATCTAGTTTAACTAGAAAACAATATGACTCAGAGATCCTCAAACAATAGTTGCAAGCTCAACAGCGCCATAATGGGCCGCATGAAAGCTTTAATTGCGTTTGGGAGCATTCAGATCCTCATGTTTTGAATATTTTTGGTCGTTTAACCAGCAGGACTTCTTGTTTGACAAATTTTCCAACAATTTTCTACCAAACGTTTCAAAGTCGTGGGTCGTGGAGACAAAAGCGTGGGTTCAAAAATAGCATGATATTAACGATAGAACTTCATCTCATTAAATTGGTTTTCATACATATTAGTGTGGCTGTATATTTCATATTTCCCTGAAATTACGAATCCCAGGGCTATATCTAGAAAAATATTGAGATAAATCCAGGAATAAACAGATATAGCCATCGCATATACCCTCGGGCAATTCTTAGGAAAAAGCAGCCAAAAGGTCTCATTCACAATAGCCACCATGATGGTTTGACTGTAAAGTATGTTTTGCGTAGAGATTGAATCACTCTTTTGCTTGCACGTCGATTGACAGCTGTTGTTTTATAGCTTTTTCAAAAAAAAAAAACGGTTTTCGGAGGAAAGGATGAATGCACGTGAAAAGTTTCCTTTTTTGGAAAAACAATTCAGTCAACAAAACACTCTTGTTTATTACGTAACATTTACAACATGAGCGGCCGCTTCGTTTGGGATTTTGTAATCTCGAGCCGAAGGCGGAGAGATTGTAAAGCCCATACAACACGGACGTGAATGTTGTAWAYKACTTGTGAAACGTTTAGGTGTGTACATTCATAATCTACTAAAAACTTAAAGATAAAATTGAATTTGGCTGAGAAAATTAGATTTGAAGTTTATGCAAATCAAGACATATTGTATAAAATAATACAACACTCTTCAGCATATGGGCAATTTGTCTGCGCATGCGTGTGTCACGAAAGCATCTTCGAGAATGGGCGCCATTTTCTTTGGAACATGTTCTTTTTYGDGTTTTTGCTAGACTAGATCGCAAGGTTTAACACTTTGAATTGTAATAATTTCAATTAGAACCGAGAGTATACACGAGTGACTACACTTGCTATTCTTGATGTATTCCTAGGCTTTGTATTTCGGTAGATATATTCCTTGAAATGATCTGAAAATAATTCATTGAGCATATGGCTGTCTTCGTTTTGATTTTGCCTGCTGTTCAATTCTGATTTTCTACCTTACAAGATATTGAGGCGAGTATTTATGTAATGAAGTTTCAGTGTTGACAATATCAATCTTTACTTCAGTGCCGATCACCCTTTGCTAATGCTTGCTTTTSTATGTGAAAATTAAAACAGTSCTGCTATTTGCCCAACTTCAGCGYCATTTAKCACGAARATTTTACTTTCGCCCGTGAATAAAAACAGCACYGAGTGAATATATTACTTCTAGTAATTTCAGAAATAAAGTCATTTTTAAAATAAAAATTGCATAGCACGGATCGTTCAACGTTGTAGTTCAACCTTCGTGAATGGCTGCCGTCTCGTCGAGKTTTTAACCATTTTTGACCTTACGGATACCTCATATTTTCAACGAAATTYCTGGAGAACGTAAATCGACTGTTTTTCTTTAAAATATTTATTTTAAGCAAAATCAAGGTATTTTTTCTCGTGAAAACATTCTTTCAACTTTAATGAGCACTTANATCCATGAAACGGAGTTCATCCGGCTAATGCTCTCTGTGTTATTTGTATCTTTGCGAATAATTTAACATAATTTAAATGTCAAAACAAAGTCTTTCAGCAAGTATCTTGCTGCAGTAATTCAAAAATCTCATCTTGATATCATTTCCATACCAATTCTGAAAGGAAACGCAACATAAAGCTTTACGTTATATTCAAATCAGTGAATCGACGAAGCACACATTCCGTTGCTAGTTTTACCTACCTTTTTCTAATATTTTGCGTCCAGTTGACCTTTTGACAGACATAGTTTATGATTCACCTACAATCCCGGACAAAACTAGTTGAGACACTGGCATTTTTTCACTGCAAGATATCCCATTTCTCATGTCTCTAAAAAATCACTGATTTTGATCCTCCCCTCCCCCCACCAAGCAATGTTGTGTGTGTGACGTGATTCAAGAAGGGTGTGCATGGTTGTTCAGTCCTTTCAACATTGATTAGAGGGGGAAAGGGGGAGAWTTGCACAGAAATAGGCAAAKAGATCATCGAAATTCAACCTATTTTAAGAAACGTCTCAACAGTTTTGTCCGGGATT